ACCAAGATGGCCGCCACGTATCTGATTGGTCGATATTTAGATATTGTTGGGGTATTAGGAGACTGCGATTTTAACCGCATGGGTTTCGTTGCCATAGCAATTACACGAAGGCTTCTGATTGGTCGAAATTTAGATATCGTTCGATTTTGATGAAAATTGGTATATAGGGGTATTAGGGGACTGCGAATTCAACCGCATATGTTTTATTGCCATAGCAACCACATGGTGGCTTCTGATTGGTGGAAATTTAGATATTGTTTGAATTTGTTGAAAATTGGTATAAATGGGTATTAGGGCACAGTGAACATAACTGCGGGGGTTTGGGGCAACTTAGCGGGATTTGAATTTTGCCGCTTATTATTTTTACCCTGTTTTACAATGTAGATATCGGTAGCTATGGAGTTTACATGCACTATGCCGGGTGGAATTTTTTAGCCAATCAGAAATAGGCCGATCTCCCGGCAGAGGAGAAAACATTCACCTGGGCGGCGGGCATGTTGTCTAGTGGCAGAAAAATATCGATGTATTGCTGTTTAGAACTAGTTTTGGCCATGGAAAAGTGAGTACAAGTTGTATTTTGTTACAATAACCATGACTAATTAAGGATAGTTGACTGTCAAATCTGTTTATAGTAGCAATTTGCTAAAACAAATTGTAAGTGAAGCGAGACTTAGGCTGATTGTTCGAACACGTGTGTACAGTATTAAGCAAACTTTACAACATTGTATAGTATCAATAATACGTTAAATTGTTTATAAAATGTTAGCAGAAGAAGGGTAGTTAGAAGTATTCAGCTGTCGGCGAGTAATTTGGCAATATTTTGTATTTTTCTATCTGACGTGTAAAACGAAATGTCATATAGGTAGCATTCAATTCCGGTGTCAACTGGAAGCTTGCTCTGTAAAATGTAAACAAAAGTGTATCGAGATAGTAAACACATAGTTTTGGTCTGACAGGCTTCGTGGTGAACGAGTGATGGGGTAGACACCAGGATGGGGACCTAACCAGGACAGCAGGGCATGGCTTGAGCCCAGGCAGGACCAGTTCAACGTACATAACATGGGCGAACGATATGAACTTTATCCAAACATCTGAGTGTACGTCTATAGCTGACCACACGGACCATCCCTCTACGGCTCGAGCAGCATATCAACGTGGACGGCGATATACCTGGGGTTCACGCGCCGGGACTATCTCATTTGTGGGAAGTGATAAAGGATCCAGTGGCTTCCGATATGTAACATTCTGAACAGAACTTAGTATTTGAACTGTGTATCTGAACTGTGGATTAGAACTGTTTATTTGAAAGAACATTTATTGTAATTTATTGGATCATGCTATACTTAGAGTGAATTGGATAGGATAATAGAATAGTTTCGAGTCACTTTTATGTGCTTGTGGTATGGTTAATACTTAGAACCATTGAATGGGTTATGTTGATTATTCATATTGAAATGTAATTATCTAGTCATACTCTAATTATTGAAATACCTCAGTAGGCAAAGCAGTCAGTATTTTGATTTTTTATCTGGCTGGTGGAGAGGTGAAATCTTAGGGACATTTGGGTTCTGTAGCACTTTATTCTTTGGTGGGATTTTTTTGTATATAAATTTGTTATTTGAAAATTCATATTCTGGTTTGTGTATTCCTTTCACTGGACACCATTCCTTCGGTTTAACTTCGGTAAGTGGTGAAACCCACACCAAAATGACGATCGTCACTTGCTATACAATATTGCAAATCCAAGTGTTTTAAGTCTTGTTAAATCCCAGGAATAAAAAAGGAAATTCGGAGCACAAATAATAGTTACTATTGCTGAATCAAGTGAAATCTAGTCTCTGAATCACGTGATCTCTGACGTCTAAGTAGGTTAAGTTCATGGAATAACCAATTAGGGGTTAGTTCGGATATGGCTTTTTAGGAGAGGGTCTCCCAAGGTTTGAAAACATCTTTCAGCAAGATAACGCTAGCAAAAACGTTGCAAGAGACTGTAGGAACTTATAGATTGGGCTCCAATACATTCCCGATTTGTCCCAAATCGAACATTTGTGGGATTCCAATACGGAGAGTGAACGTGTAGTTTATTTGCCGGCCAAACTGTAGTTTTGACTGGTACAGCTTTTTTTACCGAACTTACTGTAGTTATGACGGTGTAGTTTATTAATGACCGTACTGAAGTTGTGACAGTGTAGTTTATTTACAAACCCCACTGTAGGTGTGATGGTGTAGTTTATTTATGACCATATTGTAGTTATGACGGTGTAGTTTATTAATAACCGTACTGAAGTTGTGACGGTGTAGTTTATTTACCGACAATAATGTAATTGTAACGGTGTAGTTTATTTACCGACTATACTGTAGGTGTGACGGTGTAGGTTATTTACCGACCATACTGTAGTTGTGACGGTGTAGTTTATTTATGACCATACTATAGTTGTGACGGTGTAGGTTATTTACCGACCATACTGTGTTGTGAAGGTGTAGTTTATTTATGACCATACTGTAGTTGTGACGGTGTTGTTTATTAATGACCATACTGTAGTTGTAACGGTGTTGTTTATTAATGATTATACTGTAGGTGTGATGGTGTAGTTTATTTATGACCATACTGTAGTTGGGACGGTGTTGTTTATTAATGATCATACTGTAGTTGTGACGGTGTAGGTTATTTATGACCATACTGTTGTTGTGACGGTGAGGTTTATTTATGACCATACTGTAGTTGTGACGGTGTAGTTTATGTATGACCATACTGTAGTTGTGACGGTGTAGGTTATTTATGACCATACTGTTGTTGTGACGGTGAGGTTTATTTACCGACCTTACTGTAGTTGTGATGGTGTAGTTTATTTATGACCATACTATAGTTGTGACGGTGTAGGTTATTTACCGACAATACTGTAGTTGTGACGTTGTAGGTTATTTATGACCATACTGTAGTTGTGACGGTGTAGTTTATTAATGACCATACTGTTGTTGTGACGGTGTAGTTTATTAATGACAATACTTTAGTTGTGACGGTGTAGGTTATTTACCGACCATACTGTAGTTGTGACGTTGTAGTTTATTTATGACCATACTGTAGTTGTGACGGTGTAGTTTATTAATGACCATACTTTAGTTGTGACGGTGTAGTTTATTAATGACCATACTGTAGGTGTGACGGTGTAGTTTATTTACCGACCCCACTGTAGGTATGATGGTGTAGTTTATTTCTGACCATATTGTAGTTATGACGGTGTAGTTTAATAATGACCGTACTGAAGTTGTGACGGTGTAGTTTATTTACCGACCATACTGTAGTTGTGACGGTGTAGTTTATTTATGACCATACTTAAGTTGTGACGGTGTAGTTTATTTACCGACCATACTGTAGTTTTGACGGTGTAGGTTATTTACCGACCATACTGTAATTGTGACGATGTAGTATATATTCTGACCGTTTTGCTGTTATGATGGTGTAGTTAATTGTCGACCATTCTGTTGTTGTGATGGTGAAGTTTATTTACCGACCTTACTGTAGTTGTGATGGTGTAGTTTATTTATGACCATACTGTAGTTGTGACGGTGTAGTTTATTTACCGACCCCACTGTAGGTATGATGGTGTAGTTTATTTACCGACCATACTGTAGTTGTGACGGTGTAGTTTATTTACCGACCATACTGTAGTTTTGACGGTGTAGGTCATTTACCGACCATACTGTAGTTGTGACGATGTAGTATATATTCTGACCGTTTTGCTGTTATGATGGTGTAGTTAATTGTCGACCATACTGTAGTTGTGACGGTGTAGTTTATTTACCGACCTTACTGTAGTTGTGACGGTGTAGTTAATTGACGACCAATCTGTTGTTGTGAGGGTGTAGTTTATTTATGACCATACTGTAGTTGTGACGGTGTAGTTTATTTACTGACCTTACTGTAGTTGTGACGGTGTAGTTTATTTATGAACTTACTGTAGTTGTGACGGTGTAGTTTATTTATGACCATACTTCAGTTGTGACGGTGTAGTTTATTTATCGACCATACTGTAGTTTTGACGGTGTAGGTTATTTACCGATCATACTGTAGTTGTGACGATGTAGTATATATTCTGACCGTTTTGCTGTTATGATGGTGTAGTTTATTTACCGACCTTACTGTAGTTGTGACGGTGTAGTTTATTTATGAACTTACTGTAGTTGTGACGGTGTAGTTTATTTATGACCATACTGTAGTTGTGACGGTGTAGTTTATTTACCGATCATACTGTAGTTTTGACGGTGTAGTTAATTTATGAACACACTGTAGTTGTGATGGTGTAGGTTATTTATGACCATACTGTAGTTGTGACGGTGTAGGTTATTTATGACCATACAATAGTTGTGACGGTGTAGGTTATTTACCGACCATACTGTAGTTGTAACGGTGTAGTTTATATTCTGACCATACTGTAGCTGTGATGGTGTAGTTTATATTTTGACCGTTCTGTAGATGTGATGGTGAAGTTTATTTACCGACCATACTGTAGTTGTGACGGTGTAGGTTATTTATGACCATACTGTAGTTGTGACGGTGAAGTTTATTTACCGACCATACTGTAGTTGTGAAGGTGAAGGTTATTTACCGACCCTACTGTAGTTGTGATGGTGTAGTTCATTAATGACCATACTCATGTTGTGACGGTGAAGTCTATTTATCGACCATACTGTAGTTGTGATGGTGTAGTTTATTTACCAACCATACTGTAGTTGTGACGGTGTAGGTTATTTATGACCATACTGTAGTTGTGACGGTGAAGGTTTTTTATGACCATACTGTTGTTTTGACTGTGTAGGTTATTTATGACCATACTGTTGTTGTGACGGTGTAGGTTATTCATAACCCTACTGTAGTTGTGACGGTGAAGTTTATTTACCGACCTTACTGTAATTATACCGGGCGAAGGTTACCGGTAATACTGTATTTGTGACGGATGTAGTTTACTATAGTTGTGACGGGTCGTATAGTGTGTACTTACCTATCTCTATGACGTAGTCCCACCAACCTGCTTTACAAACCGAGTACTTTAACCCATCCCCAGGGGTTGATCCCATCTCTAAAAGAGTCTTTCCTTCGCGTAAATGATCAAGGGTGACCGTTGTCCATGCTGACATATAGCCCAGTACGACCACCACTACACACAAAAGGTATTTCAGAAGGTCCTTATCGCGCACGTGCACTCTGTGTGCCTTACGCGACTGAAACTCTGCCAATAATCTACAACACAAACATAAGACTATAATACGACGTATGGTGTTTAATATTTTAAATATTGTTCTGTTTTTCCTGACAAGAGATTGGTCCCATTTACATCACCTCATAGTCAATACAAGCGTTATCAAATACCTTGTACCTGCTACAGGTGAATACCAAATTTTAAATTTAACTTCCTAAAATCCAACAACTGCAACATTCAACAAGAGGCCCAGGGGCCTTAATAGCTCACCTGGTATTTTATTTTTCAATTTAAAACCTGCTGAGTACCATTCAGGTTTATCAAAGGAGTACAAGTAACAAAGTTGCATCTTCCATTTATAAATATTCAATTCCCTTTGCCCAAAGATTCTCTAAAACAAGTTTGGTTAGGTTAAAATCCCTTCAACGGTACAGAAGGAGAAGGATCTTTAATGTTTTCCTCTATTTCCCCTAATGGGCCCCACTAATCTGCCCCAAAGAAGGGGAATCCACACACCTCAGTTTAAACAAAATTGATTCTTTTCTCCCTAAGCATGCTTCAGACTGCATTTGGTTTAAATCCCTTCACTTGTATAGTAGGAGAAAAAAAATCCTCTATTTCCCCTATTGGGCCCCGCTCCTATGCCGCCAGAAGGCCCACACCCTCCGTTTATACAAACTTGAGTCTCCTTTGTCCAAAGATGCTCTAGGACAAATTTGGTCAAAATCCTTCAATTGGTTGAGGAGAAGATTTTTAAAGATTTACCTATTTTCCCCTATTTGGCCCCGTCCCTCTGCCCCCAGGGGGACCATACCCTCCGTTCATACAAAACTGAGAACCCTTTGGCCAATGATGCTCCAGACCAAATTTGGTCAAAATCCCTTCATCGGTACAAAAGGAGAAGGATATTTGATGTTTTCCTCTATTTCCCCTAATGGGCCCCACCCATCTGCCCTTAGAAGGAGGCCCACACACCTCAGTTTATACAAAATTGATTCTTTTGTCCCTAATCATGCTTCAGACTGCATTTGGTTAAAATCCCTTCACTTGTATAGCAGGAGAAAAAAAATCCTCTATTTCCCCTATTGGGCCCCGCCCCTCCGCCCCCAGAGGGGCCACACCCTCCGTTTATACAAACTTGAGTCTTCTTTGTCCAAAGATGCTCTAGGACAAATTTGGTCAAAATCCTTCAATTGGTTGAGAAGAAGAACATTTTTAAAGATTTACCTTTTTTCCCCTTATTTAGCCCCGCCCCTCTGCCCCGAGGGGGGGCTATACCGTCCGTTTATACAAAACTGAGAACCCTTTGGCCAATGATGCTCCTGACCAAGCTTCAGACTGCATTTGGTTTAAATCCCTTCACTTGTATAGTAGGAGAGAAAAAATCCTCTACTTCCCCTATTTGGCCCCGCCCCTCTGCCCCCAAAGAGGCCACACCCTCCGTTTATACAAACTTGAGTCTCCTTTGTCCAAAGATGCTCTAGGACAAATTTGGTCAAAATCCTTCTATTGGTTGAGAAGAAGAAGATTTTTAAAGATTTACCTATTTTCCCCCTATTTGGCCCCGCCCCTCTGCCCCCAGGGGGGTTATACCCTCCGTTTATACAAAACTGAGAACCCTTTGGCCAATGATGCTCCAGACCAAATTTGGTCAAAATCCTCTGAGCCATTCAGGACAAGTAGCATTTTAAAGGAAAAAGTTGACGGACGCCGGACGCCGGACGCCGGACGACGGACGACGGACGCTGCACCATGGGATAAGCTCACTTGGCCCTTCGGGCCAGGTGAGCTAATAAAATAACCCAAAGTAGCATTGTTCGAATAGCTAAATAAAGTTTAGGAGAATGTGTCTTAGTGGTTGAAAATATATGATAAAAGCATACTAATGATTTGGGATTGTAAATCGGATGGGATAGGAACCAAAGCATTATAACCATAAATGAAGTTCATAATTTTATATAGCTATAGGCCATAGCAATATTACACTAATACATTAAAAGTTTGGTAGAAATAAGCATATAACTAATTTAAACTAGTGTTATGAAAAGTTGAAATCCTTACCTGTACACCTTTAAAATCAATGCACCGTAAACTATTGCGAAGCCCAGTTCCCTAAACCATGGGATCACCAGGCATATAGTCGCAGTCGGCTTAAAGTACTGCATGATTACCTGCAAACGGAATAATTATATATTTAGAATAAAAAGACAAAATACGTGTTTTTTCAAATACATTTTCAATTAAAGTTGTCTGTATTATACTGTGTAGAAGTCATTACATCAGAAAGATTTGTGTAGTCATTACCACTCTCTGAAATGAAGAGTTATAACCTTTCTCTGATCTGAGGCATCATTACTTCTCTCTGATCTGAGGAGTCCTTGCCTCTCTCTGAAATGAGGAGTCATTAACTCTCTCTGATATGATGAGTCATTAACTCTGTCTGAGCTCAGGAGTCGTTACCTCTATCTGATCTGAGGAATCATTTACTCTCTGTGATCTGAGGAGTCGTACCCTCTCTCTGATCTGAGGAGTCATTACTTCTCTTTGATCTCAGGAGGTAAACGTCTTTCTGATCTGAGGACTCATTAACTCTCTCTGATCTGTTGAGTCATTAACTCTCTCTGATCTCAGGAGGTAAACCTCTCTCTGATCTGAGACCTCATTTAAATTCTCTGATATGAGAAGTCATTAACTCTCTCTGAAATGGGAAGTCATTAACTCTCGCTGATCTAAGGAGTCGTTACCTCTATTTAATCTGAGGAGTCATTACTTCTCTCTGATCTCAGGAGGTAAACGTCTTTCTGATCTGAGGACTCATTAACTCTCTCTGATCTGTTGAGTCATTAACTCTCTCTGATCTCAGGAGGTAAACCTCTCTCTGATCTGAGACCTCATTTAAATTCTCTGATATGAGAAGTCATTAAGTCTCTCTGAAATGGGAAGTCATTAACTCTCGCTGATCTGAGGAGTCGTTACCTCTATTTAATCTGAGGAGTCATTACTTCTCTCTGATCTCAGGAGGTAAACGTCTTTCTGATCTGAGGACTCATTAACTCTCTCTGATCTCAGGAGTCATTAACTCTCTCTGATCTCAGGAGGTTAACTTCTCTCTGATCTGTGGACTCATTAAATTTCTCTGATATGAGAAGTCATTAACTACTTCTGAAATGGGAGGTCATTAACTCTCGCTGATCTGAGGAGTCGTTACCTCTATTTAATCTGAGGAGTCATAAGCTCTTTCTGATCTGAATAGTCATAACTTGCTCTACTCTGATGAGTCATTACCTCTATCTGATCTGAGGTGTCATTTACTCCCTTTTATATGAAGAATCATTAACTCTCTCTGATCTGAGGAGTCATTACTTCTCTCTGATCTGAGGAGTCATAATCTCTCTTAACTCTGCGGAGTCACTGCCTCTCACTGAAACGAGGAATCATTACCTCTCTCTGATATGATGAGTCATTACCTTGCCACGATCTTAGAAATCGTTAACTCTCTCTGATCTAAGGAGTTGTGTGTGTAGTGAAAGAAGTGACATTTGTAAGGGATTCTTTGGAGGTGGATATACAGAGCAACGACATAGACATTGCGCATAGACTCGGGCGTTTTGACAGAAGCAGGCCACGGGTGATCATCTGTAAAATGACCCACAGGAGGAAAAAGGCCCAGATACTAAATTACAGACGTAAATTGAAGGGAAAAGGACAAATTGTTTTCGAGGATTTGACAAGAATGAATCAAGAAACACTTAAGGAAGCATACAGACTTAAAAGTGTCAAACATACTTTTCGTGCGGACGGAAAATTATTCGCAGTTCTAACCAACGACAAGAAACGAAGACTGTCATACGCTACAGAGGTGACGGATCAGTATCTTGCAGATGACAACAATTTTAGGAACTAAGTGATAGATTCTACGGAACTGTGTGAAAAGTGTTATTATTGAGTGTGAGATCGGTATCTGACTATGGGCTCGCGTACATGTATACGTGTGGCCTCCAGAGATGGACTCCTCTGGTTCTACCGATCAGAATGGTTTTGAAGTGTGTTCACGATGTGTCACTGATATGTCTTTGTATTTGGAAGGTATGCTGTGGATAATTTATTCTAAAATGTATTCCGGTAAGTTTTGTATGATAATGTAACGCTCCACTGAAGACGACTGACGTCTTTTTTCTGTACTTTACTATTAATTCAAGTTTCTTTTTGTCAATTTTGATGTTGTTGATATTATAAAATGTACGTTTCATGTCATATTCGTTGGAATACATCTAAATAATTTTATATTACTTTTTTTCATAATGTAAAACCGTCCGGAAGGGTGTCTGATCGTTTTTCTAATTAATCTATTTGAAATCCGGAAAATCAAGTGTCTAGCTTAGTATGTTACAGTACTACTTCCGGTTGTTTTTCACTTCCGCCTGACTGCATGGTTTTGGAAACTGTACTTTGAGAGAAGGATGAAAGATGCGTAAGTTAACAGTTGTCTGCGACTTTTGACCATTGTGTTTTAACCTTTTTCTTCTGTTGTGCTATATCTTGATACTTCTCTTTTTCTTATCTGTGCTAGTTAATACATACATATTTCTGGTAAGTTGTAATGTAACATGATGGAGGGTATAACTTTTCTTTCTGCTAATTGTCAGGGTCTTGGGGACAAAATTAAAAGAAGGGACCTTTTTTCATACTTAAAATCGAAAAAATATTGTGTTTATTGTCTACAGGACACTCATTTTACTGAAGAGAACCAGAATATTATCAAAAATGAATGGGGGTTCGACTGTTATTTTAATTCATTAATTAATTATTTTTTAAGTCCAATGCCAGGGGGGTAGCTATTCTTATAAATAATAATTTTGAAATTAAGGTGAAAAGGGAAAGGAAAGAAATGTCAGGATTTTTTTTATCCCTTGATATTGAATTAGAGGGTTCACATGTTACATTGATCACGCTATATGGCCCAAATACAGACACACCTACATTTTTTGATATTTTAACTGACACAATTGACAACTTTGGAAATGACAAATTCATTATATGTGGAGATTTCAACTTAGTATTAGATCCTGAGTTAGATTATGACAAAAGCAATAAGAACATTAATAATAAAAAAGCAAGAGAAAAAGTTATTGAAATTATGGAAAACTATTCAATGGTATTTTTTTTTTAGAGAATTGCATCAAGATAGTAAAAGATATACCTGGAGAAAGAAGAACCCATTAAAACAGTCTCGTTCAGATTTGTTTCTTATTTCAGAAAATTTGTTATCTAGTATTCATAAATCAGCTATTGAGTCAGGTTACAGGTCCGACCACTCATTCCCTATAATTGTTTTAAAAATGGAACGACTTCAAGCGGGGAAAGGGATTGTGGTAATTTAATTAATCTCTTTTATATGAGGAAGAGTGTCATCAAATGGTGAAAATTATTATTTTAGAAACAAAAACCCAGTACTCTTTGCCAGTGTATAATCTTAATGCTATAATGAATATACCAGATACAGAAATAAAATTTGTAATTGATGACCAGCTTTTTCTTGAAACATTATTAATGGAAATCAGAGGTAAAAATATATCTTATTCATCTCATAGAAAGAAACAGCAAAGTAGGGAGGAAGATGATCTTAAGAAAAAAATACAAACTATTGAAGAGCAGGAACATGTAGACATAGAAGATTTAGAAATTAAGAAAAGGGAATTGGAAAATATTAGATTGAGGAAGGTAAGAGGTGGTATAATTAGATCTAGGGCAAGATGGCAAGAGGAAGGAGAAAAGTCAACAAATTATTTTTTCAATTTAGAAAATAGGAATTATACTTCCAAGATTATACCCAGGATGAAATTTTAGAAGAAGTTTTTTTTTTTTATGAAAAATTAAATGATAATAATACTGATATTGATGATATAGATTTAGCAGATTTTTTGAATACATGTGATGTTTCAAAATTAGAAAATAACGATTCTCTTGGTCTAGAAGGGTTAATTACTTTAAATGAAGCAACAACAAAAATGAAAAATATGAAAAATAACAAAAGTCCTGGTTCTGATGGGTTTACTGTGGAATTTTTTAAGTGTTTCTGGAAAGAGCTAGGGGGTTCATTGTTAGATCTATAAATTGTGGTTATAGGAAAGGTTTGCTATCAGTAACACAAAGGCAAGGTATTATAACATGTATTCCCAAGGGAGATAAACCTAGGCAGTTCATAAAAAATTTGCGACCCGTAACATTATTGAATATAGTCTATAAAATAGCGTCCGGATCGATAGCAGGTAGAATTAGAACAGTTATAGATAAATCAATTAGTGAAGATCAAACAGGATTCCTTTCAGGCCGTTATATAGGGGAAAATACTAGATAAGTTTATGACATTATGCAATATGCAGAAGAAAGATATATTCCAGGTATGTTATTAATGGCAGATTTTGAGAAAGCATTCGACACAGTCTCATGGGAATTTGTTGATAAAGTTTTAAATTATTTTAATTTTGGTTCTGATATTAGATGCTGGGTAAAACTACTACACACCAATGTAAGTTCAACTATAAACCAAGGTGGCAATCTTTCATCATTCGTAAACATAAAAAGAGGCCGTCGCCAAGGTGATCCAATCGCCCCCTACATTTTTATTTTGTGTGTTGAAATACTAGGCATAAGACTTACGTGAAAGGACTCACGGAAGAAGAAACATTGACACAGGAGTGAATGCACATTAATGTAAAAGGACTTACAGAAGAAGAAAAATTGATACCAGAGAGAATGTACATTGATGGGAAAGGACTGACGGAAGATGAAACATTGACCCCAGAGTGAATGTACATTGATGTAAAAGAACTGACGGAAGAAGAAACATAGACACAGGCGTGAATGAACCTTGATGTAAAAGGACTGTCGGAAGAAGAAACATTGACACAGGAGTGAATGTACATTGATGTGAAAGGACTGACAGAAGAAGAAACATTGACACCAGAGTGAATGTACATTGATGTAAAAGAACTGACGGAAGAAGAAACATTGACACAGGCGTGAATGAACCTTGATGTAAAAGGACTGTCGGAAGAGGAAACATTGACACAGGAGTGAATGTACATTGATGTGAAAAGTCTGCCGGAAGAAGAAACGTTGACACAGGAGTGAATGTTCATTGATGTGAAAGGACTGACGGAAGAAGAAATATTGACACAGGAGTGATTGTACATTGATGTGAAAGGACTGAGGAAGATGAAACATTGACACCAGCGTGAATGTACATTGATGTAAAAGGACTTACGGAAGAAGAAACATTGGTACCAGAGTGAATGTACATTGATGTAAAAGGACTTACGGAAGAAGAAACATTGATACCAGAATGAATGTACATTGATGTAAAAGAACTGACGCAACAAGAAACATTGACACAGGCGTGAATGAACCTTGATGTAAAAGGACTGTCGGAAGAGGAAACATTGACACAGGAGTGAATGCACATTAATGTAAAAGGACTTACAGAAGAAGAAAAATTGATACCAGAGTGAATGCACATCGATGTGAAAGGACTG